TTGGGAGGCTGAGGCAGGAGAATTGCTTGAACCTGGGAGACAGAGGTTACAGTGAGCTGAGATCACCACACTCCAGCCTGGGCAGCAGAGCGAGACTAAAAAAAAACAACAAGCTACCATTTGTGCTGAATAGGAGTTGGCCAGTGAATAGGCGTGTGAGGTCCAATGGTCGCTGGAGGACACTCGGCAGGACAACTGGTGGAGGCGGGGACAGGCGGAGGCCAGAAGGCTGGAGCATAGAGATCAGGGGCGCTGAGTGTGCTGCAGAGCATGGGACCCAGGGCACAAGGCCTTGGCCACTTCACAACTTGCTACTTTCCCTTAAGAGCAATGAGCAGGCTGGGCACGGTGGCTCATACTTGTAATCCTAGCACTTTGGGAGGCTAAGGCAGAAGGATCACTTGAGCCCAGGAGTTTGAGACCAGCCTGGGCAACAAAGTGAGCCCCCATCTCTATTTTATTAAATAAACTAGGGCTGGGCATAGTTGCTCACATGTGTAATCCCAGCACTTTGGGAAGCTGAGGTGGGTGGATCACTTGAGGTCAGGAGTTTGAGACCAGCCCTGCCAACATGGTGAAACCTCATCTCTACTAAAAGTACAAAAATTAGCTGGGCGTGGTGGCTCATGCCTGTAATCTCAGCTACTCGGGAGGGTGAAGCAGGAGAATCGCTTGAACCTGGGAGGCAGCGTTTGCAGTGAGCTGAGATTGTGCCATTGCACTTAGTCTGAGCAACAAAGTGAAACTCCATCTCCAAAATAACAAAAAGAAAACAAAATTGTTTTTTTAAGTGATAAGCAACTGTTGAAAGGTTTTAGGCAGGGAAATGACATGATTAGATTTGTATTTTATGTCTAAAAAGTTTTGTCATTTATATCCCCCAAATTAACTTTATTGTTGTATGGAGACGGGGCTAGAGGAGGCAGACCAGGAAGCAGGGTGACCACTTTGCCCTCCTTCCCAGTCCATCCCATGACTGTTGGTGGCTCTGACACCCCTGCAACCCTTTGAGGTGCCATGAGCAAAAGACACAAAATTCCTCCTTTCCTGGAGCTTTCCTTCCAATGTGGTCTGACAGATAGTAACACATACACATAAGCAAGATATGGTCAGTGCTAAGTGCTCGGGAGGACGTGAGCAGTTGATGGGGCACAGGAGGGTGGTGAGGGTTATTAGAGGGCCCAGCGAAGCCACCCTGAGGAGGGGCTATCACCTGGGGTCTGTGGAGCAAGGAGGGGCCGCTGTCTGGTTCTCAGCGGACTCCCTGTGGCTGGAGCGGGGAGCATTGGGAGAGCCTCCAGGGGAACTCAGGAGGCAGGCAGAGGCTGGGTCCCCCGGCCTGCAGGTGTGGAGAGATGCCTGGGTTTTGCTGTGAATGCTGTGAGAAGCCACCGATGGTTTGTAAAGACCAGTTAGGAGATGGTCACTGTTGCCCAGGCAAAAGATGAGGGTAGCTTACCTTGGGTTGGTGGCAGTGGAGACGGAGACGGAGAGAGGTGAAGATAATGTTTCGGGGGAGATTGGACAAGAACTCCCGATGGGTTGTGGGGCAACTGCAGAGAATGAGTTACCAGCTCTCCATTTGCTATGCGCAGTTGGGTGATTGGTTTGGTCATTGTCTAAGGTCACAGAAAGTGGGAGTGAAGGGAACAAGGAAGGCCTCCATGTGGGGTCGAGCCCCTGCTGAGCCCCCTCTTCTTTCCGCAGCTGTCCTCTTTGACACAGGCTCACCAGGAGGCTCTTTCCAGTTTGACCAGCAAGGCCGAGGGCTTGGAGCAGTCTTTGAGTAGTCTGGAAACCAGGAGAGCAGGGGAAGCCAAGGAGCTGGCCGAGGCTCAGAGGGAGGCCGAGCTGCTTCGGAAGCAGCTGAGGTAGGTGGGTGGATGCCGACGGGGGCCCGGCAGTTGGTGATGTGGTGGGTCTGCAGGGTGCCCCACTGATGGCTGTCCCATTCCCACCCCAACCCTAGCAAGACCCAGGAAGACTTGGAGGCTCAGGTGACCCTGGTTGAGAATCTAAGAAAATATGTTGGGGAACAAGTCCCTCCTGAGGTCCACAGCCAGACATGGGAACTGGAGCGACAGAAGTTTCTGGAAAACATGCATGTGAGTGTGCAGGAGTCCATCTGTGTGGGGACTTGGGGATCAGGTTGGGGGGCAAGTGTGGCCCTTGGAGGAGTGTGTAGAGCACGGCCCTCAGGAGAGAAGGTGGTACCCGAGGCGGCATGGAGGCCCTACAGGGGGGCTGCTTCTCTCCGCCCGCAGCACTTGCAGGAGGACCGGGATGGCCTGCACGCCACCGCGGAGCTGCTGCAGGTGAGGGTGCAGAGCCTCACGCACATCCTCGCCCTGCAGGAGGAGGAGCTGACCAGGAAGGTATGGCCCGACCCCCAGATCCCTCACCCTCAGCCGCATCCTACACCTACTGTCCCCCACCCTCCGCCCTGTGGGTGGGAGGGTTCGATGTGCCCCAGAACCTGCTTGGATCTCTTTCTTCCTGTGAACTCCTCTTGCTGTAGCTCATGTTGTCTGGGCAGGACAGAGGAGAAACAAAGATGCCACCTCCTTCCTCTCCTCCCGCAGGAGCCCACACTTTCCTCCCGCTCCTTCTTCCTCAGGTTCAACCTTCAGATTCGCTGGAGCCTGAGTTTACCAGGAAGTGCCAGTCCCTGCTGAACCGCTGGCGGGAGAAGGTGTTTGCCCTCATGGTGCAGCTAAAGGCCCAGGAGCTGGAACACAGCGACTCTGTTAAGCAGCTGAAGGGACAGGTCACTGCACTCTCTTTTCTCCCGGTATTCCCTCCCAGCACCTTGCTCCTTCCATAAGAGTGGCATCCATTCAACCAGAGTTTATTGAGTGGTTGCCACATGCTGGGCACACAGCCCTGAACAAAACCGAAATGTGGAGCTTGCATTCTAGAGCAGAGACACAGAACACGCAAGTAAACAGATAATGTTCAGTAATTATATGCGCTGTATAGAAAGATTCAGGCTGGGTGCAGTGGCTCACGCCTATAGTGCCAACACTGGTCTCAAACTCCTGACCTCAGATGATTCGCCTGCCTCAGCCTCCCAAAGTGATGAGATTACTGGTATGAGCCACCGTGCCCAGCCAAGTAAAATGCCAGCAGTCTAGGAGACTGATGCAAGTGGATCACTTGAGGTCAGGAGTTTGATACCAGCCTGGGCAACATGCGCAATCCCGTCTCTACTAAAAATACAAAAAATTAGCCAGGCATGGTGGCTCATTCCTGTAGTCCCAGCTACTCTGGAAGCTGAGGTGGGAGGATCACCTGAGCCTGGGAGGTTGAGGCCCCAGTGAGCTGTGATCGCACTACTGCACTCTAGCCTGGGTGACAAAGCGAGATCCTGTCTCAAAAAAAAAAGAAAGTAGCAAGAAAGATTGAAAAGATAATGTGACAGAGAGACTGGGGGGTGGGTCAGCCTCAGGTAGGATGGTCAGGAACAGCCTCTCTGAGGAGGTGACAGCATCTGAGGAGGGTGGCATGGTCAGTTGGTGGGTCCTGTGGGGTGGGTCAAGGGCTATTCCCATGTTCAAGTGGGCACATGGAACGTGGAACATGGAAGGAACACTGAACTCAGATTCTATTCTCAGGAACCTAAGCTTCTGTCACCCTGCATGGCATTGGTTCTTTTTCTTTCTCTTTTTGAGAAGGAGTCTTGCTCTGTCACCCAGGCTGGAGTGCAGTGGCGTGATCTCGGCTCACTGCAACCTTTGTCTCCCGGGTTCAAGTGATTCTCCTGCCTCAGCCTCCTAAGTAACTGGGATTACAGGCACATGCCACCATGCTTAGCTGATTTTTGCCTCCCAAGTAACTGGGGTTACAGGCACATGCCACCATGATTTTTGTATTTTTAGTACAGACAGGGTTTCACCATGTTGGCCAGGCTGGTCTTGAGCTCCTGACTTCAAGCGATCTGCCTCGGCCTCCCAAGGTGTTGGGATTCCAGGTGTGAGCCACCACGCCTGGCCCCTGCATGACATTCTCTGCACCTGCCACTTTGCTTCTAATGCCTCCCTCAGCTTTTAGCTCTAGAGGCCCCTGCCCAGCTTCATCTCCTCCCCCAGGTGACCTCACTCCAGGAACAAGTAACAGCCCAGAGCCGGGAACAGGCCATTCTGCAGCGATCCCTGCAGGACAAAGCCGCAGAGGTGGAGGTGGAGCGGATGGGTTCCAAGGTTGGTGTCAGCCTAGTAGAGACTTGGGGAGGGCAAGGGAGCCCTGGTCCAGGGCTGCAGCCAGGACTTAGGGAGGGACCCTGTCCTTTGCTGCATCCTCCCCAGGGCCTGCAGTTGGAGCTGAGCCGTGCTCAGGAGGCCAGGCGCCGGTGGCAGCAGCAGACAACCTCAGCCGAGGAGCAGCTGAGGCTTGTGGTCAATGCCGTCAGCAGGTATCAGGGATGGAGGGGCTGGTGGAGTAGTGTTTCTGCCACCTTAGCTTCCTGGGCACCTTGTTGCTGAGGAGCCTCGGGCAAGAGGGGCTGGAAAGCTGGCCACTGGAGGCTACAGGGCTGGGCAAATTTAGCCCTATCAATGTTCCTGTGTTCATTTCTCTTCTGGGGCAGCCTCCTCTGCATTCACACCTGATTGCTTGTCATGAACTCCCCACTGCATGTTGGGCTGGAGGTGAGGCCTTGCTTCCTCCTGCAGTTCAGTCTAGTAATGGCTTGAGCTAAATAGAGCACCGGGGAGGATCTTCACTTACAGCATTGTTCAAGGATGGAAAGTGTAGACACTTCATCGTCCTTTCCTTGTCTAAAATTTTACAGGCATTCTCTGTTTCACTGGAGAAAAATTTAGTCTATTTATTTATTTATTTTGAGACAGAGTCTGTGTCACCCAGGCTGGAGTGCAGTGGCGCAGTCTTGGCTCACTGCAACCTTACTTCCCTGGTTCAAGTGATTCTCCTGCCTCAGCCTCCTGAGTAGCTGGGATTACAGGCATCCACCACCACGCCCAGCTAGTTTTTGTATTTTTAGTAGAGACAGGATTTCACCATGTTGGCCAGGCTAGTCTTGAACTCCTGACCTCAGGTGAGCCACCCACCTCCCCCTCCCAAAGTGCTGGAATTACGGGTGTGAGCCACCGCGCCCGGCCTAGTCTATTTATTTAAAGCTATATACTTACTTGCTTACTATTCCATCTAAAATGTAAGCCAGTTAGTTTCCTTCTAAATCAATTGCCAGCCTTTGTGTCCCATACCAACTTCCTAGTTGTTTCATTACCAACAATTGTTCTACGACCTTCGGAAAAACTTCTAAGGAAACAGCAAAGCTTCTTTGTGCTGGTGATGACTTCCCCTCAGCCTTGGACATTGAGATACCCAAGGCAGGTAGTTCTTAGCACAGTGTCTGGCTTGTAAATGTTTATTGTTATCATGAGGCTCTTCTTGATGGGTTAATGTAGATAAAGATAATTTTTGGTTTAGCGAAATTAAGATGCAGGATGAGTCCTTGCCCACCACTTCCTTCTCTTGGATTTGTACCTTGGGGACTAATTCAGCTTAAAAAATTATGAAACATTTCACACTTGCATGGAATTAAACTAGTTATGATGACCTACCACCCAGGTTCAATCCATTGCGTGTGCCCCCTACCTCCAGGAGAACAGAAGGATGTGCTGCGGACAGAGTTTGACTTTGGTACCCGGCGATCACAGAAATGGTCTGTGTAATGATGCATTGCCAAAAGTCCTCCAGGCTTAAAGCAGTCCAAACTCGGATTGTTGCTGGGTTTATTAGATTGTCTGTAGGTAATTGGATATTTTACTACAAGCTGCGGTAGGTGTTGGAAGCATCTACTTGAACAATTTCCAGATCAAAGTGAACTTTGCCGTGCTGCTGGGGATGCAGCTGCAAGCCTCCATCATCGTGTGTTTTTCTGTGGGTGCAGACCCGGACTCTCCTGAGGAAACCCCAAGTGGGCCCTAGACACTCCTTGGCCTCCTCCAGGGGCCTGTTTAAGCTGCTCAGTTTTCATGAGCCAGGTTGGTCCTACTTTTGGCACAGCCAGCTGGTAAAGCATGTGGGTCTGCCCGTCATTGGTGCTAAATCAACACTCCTGGGCTTGGAGAGGATGACTTTGTTTTGGTTTGGTTTTTTGAGATGGAGTCTCACTTTGTTGCCCAGGCTTGAGGGCAGGGGCGCAATCTTGGCTTACTGCAACCTTCACCTCCTAGGTTCAAGTGATTCTCGTACCTCAGCCTCCGGAGTAGCTGGGATTACAGGCATAAGCCACCATGCCCGCTAATTTTTATGTTTTTAGTGGAGACAGAGTTTCACCATGTTGGCCAGGCTAGTCTCCAATTCCTGACTTCAGGTGATCCACCTGCCTCGGCCTCCCAAAGTGCTGGGATTACAGGCAGAAGCCTCTGGCCAGAGAGGATAACTTCACTCTGATGCACAATAGTGAGCGAAACACAGGTTGTGAGAAATAAGCTTAACAGGTTGCTTTAAAAGATAGTCATTTAATGCATTCTTGGGGCAAAGTCCCTTTAGATAATTGATGGAAGCTGTGCGTTCTTCACTTGTATAACAGGACAGGATTGAGGGAGTTGTCTATACTAGGCACAGCAAGTCCTTTGGGAATGAAGGGGAGGCATGGAGGGTCAATGACCTGTGCCCTCTCCAGCTCTCAGATCTGGCTCGAGAGCACCATGGCTAAGGTGGAAGAGGCTGCCGCCCGGCTTCCCAACCTCAACAACCGACTCAGCTATGCTGTCCGCAAGGTCCACACCATTCGGGGTGTGTAGGGCAACTGTGAGCCATGTCCCGCCCCCGCCCCACCAGCTGGGACTTTCTTCTTACTGACCCAGCTCTGTGATCCCACATCCATTCACCTTCCTTCTTTCACCAGCCCTTGCATCTCTTTTTCCCTTACTCCCTGTCCCCCACTTTCTGCCATGCAAACTTCATCTCTTTTTCTCCCTGCCTTTTCCCTCCTAGGCCTGACTGCTCGAAAGCTTGCCCTTGCTCAGCTGCGCCAGGAGAGGTGAAGTTTGGGCACTTTGAGGTGGATGGGGCTTTAGAGCATTGGCTACTGGGACCCCCAAAACCATGAGAACTGAGGCAGGATGGGTGCTTTGGGGTCAGGCAGCTGGGTGATTTCTCCTGACTCTCTCTTCCCTGTCCCAGCTGTCCCCTACCACCACCAGTCACAGACGTAAGCCTTGAGTTGCAGCAGCTGCGGGAAGAACGGAACCGCCTGGATGCAGAACTGCAGCTGAGTGCCCGCCTCATTCAGCAGGAGGTGGGCCGGGCTCGGGAACAAGGTACACCTGGTTGCCAGGGGGTGGCGAGGATGAGGAAAGACCCGGTGTCTAGGGTGCTAGGAGAGGCCTGACCCAGCACCCTCTCCTTTTAGGGGAGGCAGAGCGGCAGCAGCTGAGCAAGGTGGCCCAGCAGCTGGAGCAGGAGCTGCAGCAGACCCAGGAGTCCCTGGCTAGCTTGGGGCTGCAGCTGGAGGTGGCACGCCAGGGCCAGCAGGAGAGCACAGAGGAGGCTGCCAGTCTGCGGCAGGAGCTGACCCAGCAGCAGGACCTCTACAGGCAAGGTGTCGAGAAGGAAAGGGGTGCTTCCCTTGGACGGTGGTGTGGGAATTGCAAATCAAAGCTCCTGCTGATACGCCCTGTCTGCACTTTCACCCCAGCCCTGCAAGAGAAGGTGGCTGAAGTGGAAACTCGGCTGCGGGAGCAACTCTCAGACACAGAGAGGAGGCTGAACGAGGCTCGGAGGGAGCATGCCAAGGCCGGTGAGCCTCGCCAGGGTGGATAGGGCCTTCCAGGAAGAAGGAAGTGTTAAGACATAGGTTATTATTTTCCCCTCAAAGTTTTTTCAAAGCTTCATTACAGGAAGTAATGAAGGTATCCATGAATAGCACAGATGATTTCTCACTTCATGAACACACCCATGTAGCCAGCACCAGATTAAGAAACAGCATATGACCAGGCACGGTGGCTCACGCCTGTAATCCCAACACTTTGAGAGGCCGAGGCAGGTGTATCACTTGAGGTCAGAAGTTTGAGACCAGCCTGGCCAATATAGTGAAACCCCATCTCTACTAAAAATACAAAAATTAGCTGGGTGTGTTAATGGGTGCCTGTAATCCCAGCTACTTGGGAGACTGAGGCAGGAAAATGGCTTGAACTCAGGCGGCAGAGGTTGCAGTGAGCTGAGATCACACCATTGCACTCCAGCCTGGAGAGCAAAACTCAGTCTCAAAAAATAAATAAAGAGCATATGACCAGCTCAGGACCCTCCTGTACCCCTTCCAGTCATACCCCTTCACAGAGGCTACCACCTTCCAGATGTCTAACACCAGCAATTACCCCCTAGCAAAAATTTCACACACCTAAACAAGTTAAAAAAATTGTGGCCGGCGCGGTGGCTCACACATGTAATCCCAGCACTTTGGGAGACCAAGGCAGGAGGATTGCTTGAGCCCAGGAGTTCAAGATCAGCCTGGGCAACACAGACTCCCATCTCTTTTAAAAAAAAAAAAAATTACAAAAATTAGCCAGGCATGGCGGTGGGCACCTGTAGCCTGAGCTTACTTGGGAGGCTGATGTAGGAAGATCACATGAACCTGGGAGGTGGAGGCTGCAGTGAACCGAGATTGTGCCACTGCACTCCGGCCTGGGCAATAAAGACCGTGTGTCTAAAAAGAATTGTGTAATGAATATATCTTCTCTAAATATAGCAGTTAACATTTGCCACATTTGGTCTCTTACCTATATACATGCATATTTGTGCATCTTTTGATTCACTTTAAGTTGTAATCATTTAATTTTTTTTTTTTTTTTGAGACAGTCTTCCTCTGTCACCAGCTGGAGTGCAGTGGCGTGATCTTGGCTCACTGTAACCTCCGCCTTCCGGGTTCAAGTTGTTTTCCTGGCTCAGCCTCCTGAGAAGCTGGGATTACAGGTGCCCACCACCACGCCCAGCTAATTTTTGTATTTTTAGTAGAGACAGGGTTTCACCATGTTGGCCAGGATGGTCTCGATCTCTTGACCTGTGATCCACCTGCCTCGGCCTCCCAAGGTGCTGGGATTATAGGCGTGAGCCACCGCGCCCGATCATTTAATGTTTTAAGTAAGTTGTAAACATAAGTTGTTCAGCTGCATCTCCCAAAGCCAGTAAATTCTCCTATATAGCTGCAATCATCACACTTGAAGACAAGGAACACTAATTGCACAAAATCTAACTCAGTTCATATTCAGATTTCCCCTGCGGAACTCCAGGATGGTTCAGGGATGAGGAAGATACTTGGGTTCAGATTCCCAGGCTCCTAGAGCATCAGCACCCCCCTCCAACTGTACAGAAGAGACAGATCCACAGAGCAGAACAGCCCCCACAAGCCACAGAGTTGGTGACCCAGCATTTGTTCCTGTCTTCATGGTGCCTGGCTGCCTCTGGCCTGACCCATACCTGCCTCCCCTGTGCCTTGGCCTCTCTGTAGTGGTCTCCTTGCGCCAGATTCAGCGCAGAGCCGCCCAGGAAAAGGAGCGGAGCCAGGAACTCAGGCGTCTGCAGGAGGAGGCCCGGAAGGAGGAGGGGCAGCGACTGGCCCGGCGCTTGCAGGAGCTGGAGAGGGATAAGAACCTCATGCTGGTAGGAGACAGGACGGCAGACAGGCAGACACTAGGGCCCATCCTGGGCTGGTTCCTGGGCTAGAGGTGTGGAAAGAGGATGGTGAGGGAGGTTCTACCCAGGCTAGGTGGCGTTTAACCCTCTCCTTCCCAGGCCACCTTGCAGCAGGAGGGTCTCCTCTCCCGTTACAAGCAGCAGCGACTGTTGGCAGTTCTTCCTTCCCTACTGGATAAGAAGAAATCTGTGGTGTCCAGCCCCAGGCCTCCAGAGTGTTCAGCATCCGTACCTGTAGCAGCAGCAGTACCCACCAGGGAATCCATAAAAGGTCTTGGGCCAAGCACAAAGGGACAAGGGACAAATGGGCGCACTTCAGCAATCTCCCCTCCAGACTCTTGCATGATGAGTGGTGTTCTCTGTGATCCTGTGAGGCCCTTAGCCTCTTTTAGCGATGCCCAGCTTGGACCAAAGAGCCTCCTCTCTCCCAGTCCTCATTTCCTGTGTCAGCCCTGTTTCCTCTGTAACCACGAGCACCTCCCCTTGTCTGGTGCTCATCTCCTGCTATCTTCCTTCCCAGGGTCCCTCTCTGTCCTGCTCGATGACCTGCAGGGCTTGACTGAAGCCATTTCCAAAGAGGAAGCTGTTTGTCAAGGAGACAACCTTGATAGATGCTCCAGCTCCAATCCCCAGATGAGCAGCTAAGCAGCTGAGAGCCCAGGGAAAGCCAGCCTGGGGGCTGGGAGGATCCTGGAGAAGTGGGTGGGGACAGACGAGCCCTTCCCCCTCCCGGGGTCACCCTGGGGAACACCGGCTGAGTCTAAATTCTGCTCTAAATAAAGACGACTACAGTAGGAGCCATTGTTTGGAAATGTAATCTCTGGGAATCTGGGAATTCTCCCTGCAGCCATCTCTCTTGGAGATGGGAGAAGTGGTCCCACCCATAGCTCTCTCTGGGTGATACCTTTTCAAATCCTTTTTCTAGGCAGCTTTGGAAATATTTGGGAAGCTTCTGCTTTTCTTTATTCTCAACTTTTAAAACTCTTTTCTTCTGGAAGATGATAAATGCTAGGAGTGGGGAAGACGAAACATTCATTCATTCAACAGGAATGTCAGAGCCAGGCACTGTATTAGCCTGGGGGCCACCTGGGCCTTGAGAGCCTACATCCTAGTGGGAGAGAGAGGACAGATGACCTAAACAGATGAACAAGATCATTTCAAACAAGTGCTTGAAGAGAAAGTATAGTACAATTATGTGATAGAAACTGACTCTGGGGAGAGGCCTCTGAGCAAGGGACCTTGTGCTGAGGACTGCCTGAAGTGGGCTCCTGTGGAGGCCAGGAGGGCTCTGTAGAGAATGGTCAAGGACGCTGCTTGGAGGCCAAGATGTGGCCAAGTTTGGATTTTACTCAAAGTCAATAGAAAGCCATTGGAGTACTTCTTTAAAAATGGGGAAGAAGGCCAGGCGTGGTGGCTCACGCCTGTAATCCTAACACTTTGGGAGACTGAGGCAGGAGGATCACAAGGCAGGATATCGAGACCATCCTGGCTAACATGGTGAAACCCAGCCTTCACTAAAAATACAAAAAATTAGCCAGGTGTAGTGGCAGGCGCCTGTAGTCCCAGCTACTCAGAAAGCTGAGGCAGGTGAATTGCTTGAACTGGGAGGCGGAAGTTGCAGTGAGCTGAGATTGCGCCACTTCACTCTAGCCTGGGTGACAGAGGAGACCGTGTCTGAAAAAAAAAAAAAAAAATTGGAGGGCATAGTGGCATGCACCCATGGTCCTAGTTACTCCAGAGGCTGAGTTGGGAGGATTGTTTGAGCCCAAGAGGTTAAGGTTGCAATGAGCTGTGATCGCACCACTGCACCCCAGCCTGAGAGCGAGAACCTGTCCTCACTCCCCAAAGGGAAGATGCAACATGATTTGGTGTACATTTTTTTTCCTGGAAGACTTACTGGATGGTCCCTTCCAGAGTGAGGTACACACATCCACGCACTATGGTCAGCAATTGCTCCCGGGACCCCGACATCTCAGTTTAGTGAACTCAGGGCAAGACAGTGACTGCCCATGGTCAGCACGGCAGGTGGGTGGGTCCAGCGAGGTCACTTCCCCAGGAGGGCATAATTGAGCAGCTTCTGGATCAGGTCCACGTGGGCCAGCAGCATGCAGCATCGGCTGTAGTGCTTCAGGCCCAGGGCGTCCCTATCAGTGTACTTGGCCTGCAGCAGCCCCAGGTAGGCCTCCCACGTGTTGCCCACAGTCTTGCTGCAGGTGAAGCAGCGCACACAACTCCTGAGCTCAAGTAGTCCTTCTGTGTCAGCCTCCCAAAGTGCTGGCATGAGCCACCACGCCTGGCCTGATATAATACATTTTTTTTTTTTTTTGATACGGAGTTTCACTTTTGTTGCTAAGGCTAGAGTGCAATGGCGTGATCTCAGCTCACTGCAACCTCTGCCTCCTGGGTTCAAGTGATTCTCCTGCCTCAGCCTCTTGGGCAGCTGGGATTACGGGTATTTGCCACCATGCCTGGCTAATATTTTTGTATTTTTAGTAGAGACGGGGTTTCTCCATGTTGGTCAGGCTGGTCTTGAACTCCCAACCTCAGGTGATCCACCCGCCTCTGCCTCCCAAAGTGCTGGAATTACAGGCATGAGCCGCCATGCCAGGCCCACCTGATGTATATTTTAAGACCTCCTTTGCTGGTGGAGGACAGATTTTGTGTGAAGGGGAGGGATAAAGAGTGGGAGCAAGGGGGCCACTGAGAAGGGTGTTGGAGAGGCTTGGGGGAGATGGTGGCTCAGGATGATGGGCTGGGTTTGGACAGGGCATGGAGGGGCTTGCAGGTGGATGGGGTGTGGATGGTGGAGGAGAGTAAGGAAGGTTTCTGTCCTTCATGAGCCCTGGAGGGAACAGACGAGATCACACCATTGCATAGTAAAGTATCCCTTACTGTGGGGTAGCGAACCAGGCAGGAAACAACCTGAGAGGAATCAAATTTTATTTTGGACACGTTACTTCTGAAGGGCTAACAGACTTCCAGGCAGAAAGGCCCTTGAAGGAAACATTCTAGGGGTCTCTCTGGGAGGCTTAGATCAAGGAGCTGAGACCAAAAGGAGAATGGGAGGGAGGAGACGATACAATAGAGTTGGAGCCGAGGCCCTTAGAGGTGGATAGGTGGATTCCTGAGGGAGGAGGAAGGGGCTGAGGTTGCTGGAGCCTGGCAGCTTCTTCTGGAGCCATTGACAGGACTTATGCAAACAGCTCTGGATGGGAAGAGGGAACCAGGATATCCTCCTGTGTCCTTCCTCTTCTGCAGTCATCCTGGATGACTCCCAGATGGAATTTCTTGGATGTCATTGCTTGGAGGTCCCCTGCATGCCTGAAGAAGGACATGCTGGAGAGCAGGATGCCTGGATCCCATGGGGGAAGGGAAGTGCCCAGGAAAGAACGAAGTCCCAGGGAGAGCTTTTAGTGTGTGGGTGAGTGGGGAGGCTGGGGTAGTAGCTGACACTGTCCCAGCTGCATCCCAGGTTTGAAAGGCACCTCCTCCCCCAGCGCAGGCATCCTGCCTCCCAACCCTGTAATTACGGCGCTTCCCAACGCGTGGTTTGCTCCCATTCTTTGGCTTCCAATAGTTGCAAGGGATGAAGGTGGACATCTCTGTGATTACGGAGATGCCAAGTGAGTATTGACTGCTCCAGCGTGTGGATGGAAGGTTGTGAAAACCAGGGTGGGGTGATGCAGGGTCAGGGTCATGATAGGGAGAGTGGGCAGCTCCCTGGACAGGGGGACTAAAATAAGGGACGCCACCTTCAGAGGTGACACATTAGCCCGGGCCTTCCCAACGGGTTTGACCAGTTCTGTTCTGATGGTATTCCTGTGCCATTGGGCTGGCCCCTCCTCCCCTCCTCCCCTATAAAGCCTCTTGGGGTTCCCAGGCACCCAGACTCAGCCCACCCCAGCTTTGGGGGCCAGTACACAGCCATGATGCTCAACTGGAAGCTCCTTGGGATCCTGGTCCTTTGCCTGCACGCCAGAGGTGAGGTGGGAACAGAGGCAGGGAGTGCAGTTTGGGGACAGATGAGGGATGGTCAGGATGGGGGAGGTGAACTGGACGCAGGGGGTTGCGGACAGGAATTCAGGGGATGCAGAAGATGTGTCTGGCTCACCAGAAACGGCTTTCTGTACACAGTGGGTGGGGGACAGGAGTTCAGGGGTGCAGAAGGTGCGTTTGGCTCTCACCAGAAATGGTTTGCTGGCTCCATGTGGCAAAGTCGGTCAGGATTAATGCGTGTGGGACGAGTTTCCTCGGAGCTGTGATTTGTGTTAAGGAGCTGGGGTCTGTGTGTCCGGGGGCCAAGGTGTAGCCCACTTTGGGTTGTAGATTGGCCTGAGGACAAAGCCAGTGGGGTACCCCAACCAGGGGTGGATGAGCTTATTTGGAGAAGTCTGGTCAGTTTAAAGTGGGACAAGTGAATGGTTCAGATCCATCGGGAGTAGGGTTCATGACATTTTATCATCAGTTAAGTATTTACAAACGCACAGAGAGCTCTTTGAGAGGGACTTTTTTGGTCTGTTTGTGGGTCGGTTCAGGCTGCATCCCTCTAGAGAGGCTCCTCCTCCTGGGGCTGGGGCTGGGGTGGCAGAGAGAAGCCCTCACCACCTCTTACCTTTCTCCTTCCTCCTTTACAGGCATCTCAGGCAGCGAGGACCACCCTTCTCACCCACCTGCAGAGGACCGAGAGGAGGCAGGCTCCCCAAGATTGCCTCAGGGCCCCCCAGTCCCCGGTGACCCTTGGCCAGGGGCACCCCCTCTCTTTGAAGACCCTCCGCCTCCCCGCCCCAGTCGTCCCTGGAGAGACTTGCCTGAAACTGGAGTCTGGCCCCCTGAACCGCCTAGAACGGATCCTCCTCAACCTCCCCGGCCTGATGACCCTTGGCCAGCAGGACCCCAGCCCCCAGAATACCCCTGGCCTCCTGCCCCTGAGGTGGACCACCGACCTCAGGAGGAGCCAGACCTGGACCCACCCCGGGAAGAGTACAGATAATGGGGTTCCCCCAGCCGTTCTGCTCCCAGGCATCTCCAGACACCCACGCCCTCTCCACTCTGATTCCCCGTGAATTCTTCCCAATTTAGCCCGTCTCCTTAAACCTCTTCCTCATTCCCTCGGTTTTATTCTGAACCCAGAAGGTGGTGTTCTCAATATTTCCTGTCCCCTCCTGAGATCCGTACTTAGCCCTCACATTGCCCGTTTTTTCCTCGGACAGCCTAAGCCTACTCTCCTACCTCACCTCCAAGCCTCGGCCCCACCTGCCTCCCTCCCGGTCTTCCTGCCCGCGCGATCGCTGGGGCAGGGCTGCGGTACTGTGTTCCCTTCTGCCACCTGGTGGCCGGCGGCAGGAATTATCAGTAGACAGCTGTTGCTTCCATGAAACGGAAAAATAAAAATCACGTTTTCTTAATTCTGAATCTAGGCTGCTGCTTTAACTAACATTTAGTGGGTTTTGTTGTTGTTGTTGTTGTTGTTGTTGTTGTTGTTGTTGTTGTTTGAGATGTAGTCTCTATCTGTCGCCCAGGCTGGAGTACAGTGGCGCGACTTCGGTTTACTGCAAGCTCCGCCTCCCGTGTTCACGCCATTCTCCTGCCTCAG